AGACTCTGGGGTTATGGTAGGGGGTTGAGGATAATAGGAAGCTCAAGAATGAAAAAAGAAAAAAAGGTCAAAAATCAATTGTGGTGATGACTGCTCAACTCTTTTTAATATATTTAAACAATTTAATTGTAAGGTACATGAATTATATATCAATAAAACTATTTTTTTAATTGAAAGGATATGAGAGAGCTGGGTGCCATCAGTCTGTTCCTTGGGGTAGAGGGTAGGACCTAGAAATTGCTTAGGGAGTGGGGAAGAGGGACTTGGATGTCTTAGAGGGGGCACAAGAAACAAGGAGGCAAATGCAGGGGAGAATGAGCTACAAGGTAGAAGGCTCACTGTGGGACGCTTGTTCTCCACCCTCTTCCCCTGAGTGTGGGGTAGGATGTGGACATGGGCTCTTGTCTCATTTGCTCCTCAGAGCTGAAACTCACACCCTCTCCTTTCTTCCCCTCCTCTGATCTGTACGAGTCCTTTGCTTCTGTTGTTGGAGGGCTGACAGTGTTGCCTCTGTTCTAGGTGTTGGATCTTCCCCTACGCTGCGTTCCACTCCCTTCCTTCCTGCTCAAAGCCTCCTCTTCTCCTGGGAGCACTGTTGCCACCTTCTCTAGTTGCTCTGCCCTGGCTCCTACCATGTGAACTTTTCTGTGTGCAAAAACAGAGAGTGCAGGGTGTGGACCCAAAGAGCTTAAATTCTATGCAAGATTTCAGAAATCTATGGGAATCACGCTCTGTGGTGATGAAATGCATTTAGGCTACATTGCGCCTTCCAATATCCAGAAAGAACAATTCTTGGTTTAGAGGTGATTTTGAAAACCTATTGTTTAACTCTAATCATTCTGGCAGGGGCAGGCCATTTGGGCCCACATCAGCTAGACCAGTTTCATCTTTCAAACTCAGTTTCTAAAACATACTCAGCAGGGAGGTCGCCCTCCTTCCGTCCTGGCTCTGCCACTGACCAGCTGTGCCATCTTCAACACGTCATCCTCAACCTCTCTCGGCTACCACTTGTCTACACCCCCACCCAGGATCAGGGCACAAGAGTGCCTTGCCCAGTGCCTGTCACATGGTAGCCCCTCGATGAATGTTGCTTGAATTCCATTCCCTGTTTACCTGAGCG